TGGGTTCGGAGTCGGTGTTGTCTCATTGCGTGGCATGGGGGCATTATCCTGCTCTCAGCACCTTTCAGCAGCGAAATTATCAAATTTCATGAATCAAGAGGTTCAATTCAGCTCTCCGAAAGCAAACTCCCCACGAAACTTCAAGGCGCATGAAAACCCTACACATTATTTGACTTGGAACTTGTATTGGTCCTTCCTGTCTAGGAAGACCACCTTCTCACTCAATCCTGCTTCTTCAACGGCCTTCTTGAAGTCCGAGAGCGGTGACAGGAAAACGTCGTAGTCATCATAGTGGATCGGGATCGTCAGATCCGGCTTTATGAGTCGCATCAACTGGATGCCTTGCTTTGCATCCATTGTCACCATTAGTAGCGGTATTTTTGGTGAGGGAATTGTGGTGCCTCCCAGATGGATGAGCATCAGGTCGATGTTTTGGCCCTTGTAACGTTCCGGGATCTCTTTCAGCTCGTCCACCACGAGCGTGTCGCCGGAGATGTAGATGCTGGGAATTGTCAATTTTACAAACAGGAATACCGGCTCAGTGTACGCACCGGTAGCCGTTCTCGAAGCTGCCTTCTCCGCCGTCTTTCGTGGTGTAGCCCAGTTCTACCATCCAGCCATTAGTAGGGGAACCTAGGGAGCTTAGCCACCCTCTCTCTGTAAGGCCGAGTCAGTATTGATATACTTACCGCCTTCAGGATGTCATTGGCGATAGAGAGTGGCCCAGGAGGCACATGCTTCCCCGGCATGCCCGTAACCTTGATGCTCGGAATCCTATCCTTCTCCCTTTCTGACACAACATCGACCATCATGCTGTCGAAAAAGTCCAGATCATACACATTCTTGAAGCTCTCCTCCTCCCCCTTGGACGTGAGACAGCTCTTCGCATGCGGCGTCGTGATGATTGGTAGCGTCCTCCTCAGGCTCTCCTCGACCTTCTGATCAAAGTGATCCGCATGGTAGTGACTCAGGAGCACAACATCGATCCGCGGTAATTCGTGCAGGTCAATGGCGGGATTCGTAACCCGCTCGCCTGTCACCCCGGGCCCAAGATGCACGTGATCTCCGGCGTGGAGGAAGTTGGGGTCGGTCATTACCCGGATGCCTTCCCATTCCAGGATCGTGGTTGCGGTCCCTACGAAGAAGATGCTTGCGTTCTCGGAGCCGGCGTTTGTGGGGTGGAGCTTGGTTTCTTTGGCCGAGGGGAGGGAATCCGGGTGCGAGGGATGGTCCCGGGTGGGTGGTTCGGCATTGCTTGGATTGATTGGGAGGTGCTTCATTGTGGAGGTGGTCATTAAGAATCTGTATAGCGCGGTGTTGAATGGTAAAGTGCTGAGGATATGTGTTGGAGTTTATCCTCTGACAGTGCAACGACGTCACTTCTGGCTAGCTCTCATGTAGGGTCTTGGCTCTCCCTGAGATGGCGAGTGTCTTCATTTCCTTGTTAATGTGAGTATCCGACAGGATACCTCAAGTAGGACGAGCTTTAGAGACTTCGTGTAGCTCGTAAAAAATGCAATCGCAGCGGTTGAAGTCCTCAGAACACTTCCCGGGGTGCTGGCGAGACAGAAAGCTGCAGCTGGACAATCAACATCGCCTTAACGAGTCTTTCGAATCCTTGACACCGGTTACCTGTAGATGCAGAGCATCTTGTCAGCTTTGGGTAACACATCATGCTTCGGTGACCGGTCATCGCTCCTAGTTCGGGCGGAGTGCACGATAAATTGGCACGCCTGGCAGCTATACCTCTCCAGAGGTACGATACAGCTTCTAATCCGGGTTGTAAAGCTTGCAAAAGGTTCCTCAGGTGTTGGTACAAGCTGTGCGCAGCTTGTACTTGATAGCTATAAAGGCGGCCGCGATGAGGATGCTCTGGTAGAAAAGGAGATGCAGAGTCTTACGATTGGCAGTTGCAGGCCTTGTATACAATCAAATCCAACAGTGGATTTGACACATATAGGTGATCAGTAGCTTCAGGGGCTTTGAGAATCCTACAATGATGGCGAACATAAGTCCTCGTGGAGTTGAAGCTGAGCTGATATCCGTTGAAACTAGAGCTTCAATTGTACCATCTGCAGCCCCTGAACTGATGGCTCCGGCTCTGAATATGGCGCGCAAAGCATTTCAAGCATGTAGTAAAGCTTGTCAATTCTCGTAAAGCTGTAGTAATAGCTTGTCGTGGTGGTGCAGCACGTGTAGAAGTTCATGGTGGTGCCAAGCCATCCGTCAAGCTTCCCCTGCAGGCCTCAGCGCAACCCTCCATAAACACCATCACCCACTACCTCCTCTCCCACCACCACCACCCCACCACCACAATGTCGTTTGCGGTCCCCCGCAACGTGCCGGCCTTCGGCGCTTCACAGCGCCATCTTGAAGACCGCGTCTGGGGCTCCAACAGGGGCATGGAGCTGCCAACCTACAAGGACAAGCCCTTCTATCCCAAGTCTCGCCGCTCCAACATGCTCAGGAAGCGTCTCCTCGGCCCCCTCCTCTTCGTCGCCGCCACCCTCATGTACTACATGGGGTTCTTTGCGTCCTCCAAGCCTTCGCCGCTTTCGCCCTCCGCCATCAACTGGAAGGACCGTCAAGATCAAGTCCGGGATGCCTTCCTGCTGACCTGGAACGCGTACGAAAAGTACGCGTGGGGTAGGTCATACAATATATACAAATTGTCCGACAACACATAGATCTTTCTATCCGAGAGATCTTGTACTGACTGATCATCCCGCAGGTCACGACGAGTTCCATCCCGTCTCCAAGACAGGCAGGGACATGGTGGACGGCGGACTCGGCTGGATTATCGTTGACTCCCTCGACACGATGATCTTAATGAACCTCACGACGCAGCTGAAGCACGCGCGCGACTGGATATCCACGAGCCTTGACTACGACAAGGACCACGACGTCAACACGTTTGAAACGACGATTCGTATGCTTGGGGCCTTCTCTCCGCCCACTACTTGTCGACAGAGCTTCCTCACTACGCCCCAGTTCACGTCGCGAAAGGCTCTCCCGGCGAAGATCTCTACCTGGAAAAAGCGAGCGACCTTGCCGACCGCCTCCTTGGTGCTTACGAGTCGATGACCGGAATCCCTTACGCAAGCATAAACCTGAAGACCAGGAAGGGCATTAAATCCCATGCAGATGGCGGAGCTTCGTCAACCGCCGAGGCGACCACCACTCAGCTTGAGATGAAGTACCTGTCGAAGCTCACTGGCGAGACCTTGTACTGGGAAAAGGCGGAGAGGGTGATGAAAGTTGTCGACGACATCGGTCAAAAGGACGGCTTGCTCCCCATCTTCATTGATCCAGACGTCGGAAGATTCCGCGATGGCAACATTCGCCTTGGCAGCCGTGGCGACAGCTACTATGGTAAGAGGATACGACAAGGGCCTAAGGGTGCCGTATATACAAGCTTATATATTGATACGGCGACAGAGTACCTCATCAAACAATACCTCCAAACCTCGCAACAGGAGCCGGTTTACCGGGAGATGTGGGATGAAGCCCTGACGGGCGTCCGCAAGCACCTGATCACCTACTCATATCCGTCGAATTTTACCGTCCTCGCAGAACGTCCGAACGGCCTCGACGGCAGCCTATCTCCGAAGATGGACCATCTCGTCTGCTTCATGCCCGGCACAATCGCGCTCGCCGTCACCGGTGGCTTGACCGTGAACGAGTTCAAAGAGACTGGGAGTTGGAGCAAGGGCCAAGACGAAGCCATGGACCTCGCGAAAGAGCTGATGAAGACTTGCATGGGAATGTACAAGGTCACGCCCACAGGACTGGCTGCCGAGATCACGTACTTCCGCACGTGGGAACCCCACAAGATGGCCTGGGAGGGCTGGAATCTTAAGTCGCCAGAGTATTTCGATCCAGATCGCAACGCAGCATGGCGAGATGATTTCGTGATCAAGCCCAACGACGTACACAACCTGCTGCGTCCAGAGACCGTAGAGAGCCTGTTCTACATGTGGCGCATCACCGGGGACCTTGAGTATCGTAATTGGGCTTGGGAGATCTTCCAGGCTTTTGTTGAGCACGCCGTCGTTCCGGATGGCGGAGGCTTTAGCAGCATCAACAGCGTCAAGCTCATCCCGGCGCGGCTCAAGGACAACTTGGAGAGCTTTTGGCTGGTATGTACCCCTCCACTAACCGTTTTCGCGTGTTTTGTTCGCATTGTTCGCATCCCGTTTTGCAAGTCCGGCAATCGAAGTCAGAGGCAGTGCGCCTAGTGCCCCATCATACCCCTGCGCGCAGTGTTTCGCTAGTGTGGTTCCATAGGCGCTTTTTTTCTATCTTCCTCTTCTCATAGTATCAAGTTTTTGAGGTCGCGCTGACTTGAGGATTAGGCCGAGACGTTGAAGTATCTTTTCCTGACCTTCGGCGAGGCCGATGTCCTGCCCCTTCAAGACGTTGTGTTCAATACCGAGGGCCATCCGTTTCCGCGCTTCGAACTCGGCAAGTTGTTCAAGACTGGCTGGTCGAGGAAGCCAAGGGACGAGTACGGTCACATCAAGCCTGATGCACCAAAGAGGAGCAACACGAACCTCGAAGCCGTAATCGACGACAAAGTGAAGATTCAGTCGGTGGCCGTGGAGAAAAAGCCTGAACAGCACTGAGTGTCATTCGAGTTCCGCGATTTGTCGATATCAATGGTGGAGAAAGAGTTTGCGGGTTTTCGATCTTGTTGTTTCTATGCGAGGAGGACTTTTTGCGTTTTGCGAGACACGATGATATCCCAGTCGTTGTAAGTCTGCATTACAGTGAGCTTCCTCATTCTGCATAGCCCGGGTGGGCATCTGGCGTTGCATTTGCTTGTGGTTTGCTCGGTGTCGCGAATACCCGTTGTGGGTGATCTGACACGGGGTGAGACGCGTTTGGGAGCCGACGTGCTGTCACGGGTCCGCTACTTCTTGTATAACACTCGGATAGGAAATACCAGGACCGTTTCACTTGTTCATATTCTTCCAATTGAGTTCAAATCTCACTGTCAGGCGGATGTGACCTAGCGGTAAGGTGTCGCCCTCCCAAATACCGGTCAGGCGAAAACCCGAGTTCGAACCTTCGGCATCCGCAGCCTTATCTTTTGCTCTTTTTCTCCTGTTTCCCTCAGATCCACCCTTTTGCTACTAATCGCAGCTCCTCTTATTTTCAGTGTCAGCGGGTCTTATCCTTTGGTGGGCAATCCGGGTTCCGGCTTGGAGCATTCGACTGTTTTGCATCTCGCATGCAGCTGTTGTTGGATGGTACTGGTCATGACATCTGAGAGGTGTTGGCACAAGACCCGGAGGGTTCGCTTTGTTACGGCGCCTCCCAGCCTCGACAGTTTTCCACTCACAAATCCAGCCCGACTCCCGCCTTTGTTACAACACGACAACCTGTTACCCTTAGACAAAGCAACTCGATCACACCAGCCGGCTCAAGGCTCCGCCATCCGTTGCTGCCACGCTGCAGCAGACATGGAACACTTCTGCTTACCCAGTCACTCCTTTCGAACAGCTGCAATGAATTTCCACCGTTGTCCGACTGTCCAGCCAACACGTAACAACCCCACAGCTCACAGTTACAGACTACAATGCCTTATCCGAAGTCCAGTCCAACCTGCATCGAGTCACGCACGGCGTTCAAGACATGGATTCATTCTTGACACTGTAATGAGTTCAAGATCTAACTGCACCCACGAGCTTTCTCAACAATGCACCTCCATACTTCCACAAACATGCGTATATGCAGAGGGTACATGTGTAACAACTACCACAGCCAGAAGTAACACACACCGATCTCGTCACCATTGGATCCATCCACACTCAAAGACGCCATGACCGGAACTCAACCCACGCACCAAGCCGTCAAAGACAGTCAAGAGAGCAAACCCCTGCTGGGCTCCCACTACCAGGTCACGGAAGTTCGACGCGAACTGAAGCAGCCGGAGAAGTCAAGATGCCGTGTGACGATATCTGGCTTCCAGCAAGGCTCGCTTTTCACAATCAAACGGGAAAGCCAAGACGTAAAGAAACTAGGGTCCACGGTGCTGATCAAGAAGGACACTTTAGACAGAACAAGACCGGCTTTAGTGATCGGCCGGCGATCTAGATCTGTCTATGCAGCTCAGTATACACCACTAGAGTCTTACGGTATGCCGTCCTTGAGAGCTCCGCTTCTTGGATCGAAAGGCTTTCAAGGCATTGACGGAGGATCGAAGTCAAGGAATATGCACAGACAGATGATCGTTATACGCCTCGAGACGATCTCTTCATCCGCCGGAAGTGGGAGGGAAAGAGTTACAAGCAGATTAAAGAAGAGGAAGCTTTCACTGCCGAAGTGAGGAAGGGTTTTCTATCCATGTTGAGATGATGCAAGGCAGGTTGCCAGACGCTCAGCTGCCACCTTAGCAACAATTCAGCAGGAAATCTGCTAAGCAACAAGCCGACGAGAGACATTACATGTCGCCGTTATGAAGAAATCTACAGTCCGCCACCGTATCAAGTTCCTTGACCCATCCACGAACTACAACACCTTTGGCAAAGCGGTACAGACCACAACCCCACAGATTGGTAACGGACGCAATGATGACTAGAGAGGATCTTGAAACCCTTCTGGCTTCTTGTTACCACATGGAGAAGACGTCAATTCAGCAGCACGACAAATCTTCAAGCAGTACGCAGTCAAGACAGCCACCGGCGGAGTGGATCCATGACACCTGTAGTGTAGGATCAAAGTCAACTGTTCAGCAACAGATCCGCCAGCGAAAAGCCGATGAGAGACTCTATGCACCGCTATCGCAATGATATCTGCCCTCCGCCAGCTTGTCGAGTCCCTCCCCTGATCCATGGATGTCACACCTTCAACAAAGCTGCACGGAGTACACTCCCGCCACTTTACAGGATACTCGTGAAGCTCCGCTCCTTGACGCAGTTCCCAGGCGTGGAAGTTCCGTGTAGCCGCATTCTGAGGACCTTCCTGGTTTCGATACTCGCGGGGATATCTCGATGCCGTTCTGCAGTAAGTTCCTTGAGCCGGATATGACTCGGCGTGTAGTGGCGATGAAGGCAACCGTCATCATCGCATAATGCAGCTACATAGTACTGCTGAGCGTGGCGGGTCAGGAAGTCTCGCGTTGCAATCGACCAGCTGTGCTGGGTGATGACGATGTCTTTCGCGTGCGGATGATGATGATGAAGGTGAAGACGAAGCTGACATACGAAATAAGTTCCGCCGGAAGTCCACTAGCAGTGCCTTAAATGAGCAGGAACCCCCACCCTCATTCCGCGTTATACCTCGTGATGAGGTACTAACTGCAACAGAGACAGCTGCCAATACCAAGAGATGAGCCTGGGACGGCCGCTCAGCTGCCCAAGTCAACCGCTCCAGCATCCGTCGTACGAAGAGGACTTTGGACCGCACGTTGAGACACTACGAGCAGGTAAGCTGAGTGCTACTGGACCTCGGAACTTTTGTGTTCGTGCTGGAGTTGGTCGGAGCCGTCGGTTGCTTATAGCCCTTCGCGCGCTTGAGATGCTGTTGGCTGATAGCTGGGGTTTTGCCAGAGAGAACAAGAGGCCCAAAACTTGGGGAGGAACTTCGCAAGCGGAATCGTCGCTGCAGATGGCGAATTTCAGACCAAGCATCCCATTTACGGATTGGGTCAGTCTGCCGACCATCAATTCGGTTCCAGCCCGGCCGAGCTTGCGGCTTTAAACGACGAAGGGATGGGATGCGCAAGGCCTTGAGATTTAGGACTTGTTCGATGTTTGGAAGTGCTTCATATTGTCATCGATCCCACCGGTTGTTGTGGTTCGGAGCGGTCTCCGCTTCGCAGCTTCAGTAAGATTATCCATCCGCATAAAATCGATCTGACCAGATAGCGAAGTGCGGGAGGCCGCACACCAGCTAACCGAAAGGGACAGGCCGTGTTTGTCAGCATGCTGATAACTATGTTGAGCGAGCGGTCCACTCGTTAGATAATCCACGTAGCACCGTCGCTCCACCGGATAAGCTGCTGTAATACGATCAGCAGAGAAGGCACGACAAACCAAAGCGGGTGCGCGAATTCGAAGAACCTGGGGTTGCCCGCGTTAACGAAGACGGCGGCGTGGAGCCGGACTAAACTCATGCAGTGGGAGAAGCCATCCCAAGAGGCGAGAAGCAAGCAAAGAGAAGGTGGCGGGGCGTCCTACTTTGACCTTGTTCACTCGCTAGAATTTAGTGATATACCTGAAGGCGAGCTTCCGACTGAACATCTTCAAAGATCTGTAAGATCTGGTCAGCAAACGTGGGCGGACCCGAGCTTGGGCGCACCGAGGGCTTCACTGTATCATCTACTGTTGCGCACGTGCAGCGATTTGTATAAGTGCCCGGTACGAGTCGATATCTCCCTGAGTATACAACTGCGGATACAACGATGGTCTTTGGACCATGACCGAAGGCCGACGAGAATCAGCTGGCGGCTGCTGTTGAGTTCTGTGTTTTGGCTTGGATCTTGTCCTCCCAGATAGGTGGACGGCGCCTGGAACGGATGACGCTTGGTTGAGCGCAGCTTTTGCATATGTTGTCAGCAGGATGACGCTGGACATATCACCGAAACTGTAAAATGTGATAATGAGTGACCAAGGATATCTATCACTAGCATGGAACATTCTGCAATAGATACCTTCTGACGCGAGTTGCGCATGAGCCGGAGAAGAGTTTGAGGAAATGGTTACATCCAAGATAATACACACGCGCTAAGCAAGTGATCATTTTCTCAGGAAGCAAATAGGTACATTTGAAGTCTGGTGGCTGTGGAAGGGGTAATTAACACTCAATACTACACACCGTGTACTCGGTTTAAGAAACAGGTATTTCGCAAATGCTTAACATGCGAGACATACAAATCAACACCAGACTTTTCCAGTTTAACTCTGATATACATCATTAACAAACGGGTGTGACTATGGCTGCCCAAACTTGAACCGGAACGCCTGGAGGGGAATAATGGATGTCCTTGAGATATAGTTTACTGGCAGAAACTTCGGACAATAGTGACAGTGCCTAATGACCCAAGACCTTGTAGGTGGTCATCGGTGGCCATCCAGTGTGATATAAGGTGAGCTAGTACTCGACTAACGCATTCGGCATCCAACGGTAGCATAAGATCTAGCGTCTGCGACGAAGGAATCATTTCCTGATCCAGTCAAACGTGACCCGCGCCAAGACCTGTGAGGGATGTTCGACGGCGCGGTAGAAGACTTCAGCAAGGAGGACTGTCGCCGGCACGCATACCGCTAGGCATGCTGCCGCTGATCCCTCAAGCGGCCACTCTTTCTGGAACCAGAGGTGCATAAAGAGCCTGACGCCGGCGGTGTATATGAAGATGCTTTGAACGAGGAACCAGCCTATTAGTAGCCTCATGTCAGTTCGAGTTCCTCGGCTAAATACGTTTCAGCGACCGAAGATACGTCTGCGTCGACTTACTCAGGGATCTCCGACCAAGGTACACAAAGAGTCCATTTGCAAGGACGTAGCGGAGTCCCTCGAAATGCTCAACGAACAGGAACAACCCAAGCAGCAGAAAGTAATCATCATCTCTCGCTAGCGGCTGCTTCGGATCGTAGTCTTCATTCAGCGATGCGGAATTGTACAGTCCCGTGTGCGCAACTAGCTCCTTCTGATGATACTCCGGTCTCCATGCCGTCCACAGATACTGCATAACCAGTCCTGCAGTAGCCAGCACGGTGTACAGCACCCAAGTGGGGAGCCTGATGCTCCTCCAAATCTTTAATCCCCGCTTTGCTTTCTTCCGGAACGCCATGTTGGTGACAGCATCGGCCAGTGCGAGACCGGTGAATGAGTACCAGGCCCAGCTCTGCACCCACCATGCAGTAGCGATGATGATGGCGTACGTCTGGAGACGCCAGGCTGGTCGAGTGTAGGGCAGAATGACCATCGCCATGTAGACGGTATAGCTCTGTTGGAAGATTGCATTCACGATCCACAGCTGCTGCCCAGGGAATGCAATATTTCCAGCCTGGGTGGCGAAGTTACGCGTCGTCCAGAAGAGACTGAAGACGGAGTTGAAGTATGTTAGGGCCTTCGAT